CGATAAGAAGTAGGGAAGCTCACCTTCTTCGTCCTATTTATACATATATATTTTTTTGTCGGAAGAATTTCACTATTCGTCCACTAACTATACCCTCGTTACACTTTCGTCCTTTAATTGTTTTCGGTTTACAATTGGTACACTAATTTTTTTTTTTTGGTAATTTTAGTCCAAAATGACATTCCAGTGCTCATTTTCGCCGGAATAGCTGATGTGGCGCCCAGTCAGATCGGAATTCCATTCTCGGCGTGATGTGGCACGAGGTGACGCCTAGTCAGATCGGAAAAATTGCACTATTAGTCCACTAACTTTACATTCGTTGCACTTTCGTCCTTTAATTGTTTCCGATTTACAAAATCAAAAGGAAAAAAATATATTAAGAATATCAAAAGAAAAAGAAAAAGCTTTAAAAAGAAAAAGAAAAGACATGTGGACAAAAAAATTAACAAAAAAAAAGAATATTAATTAATAAAAAATCATTTTGTTTAATGATTTTAACCAAAAATAATAAAGTATATTTTTTAAAATAAAAATACATTTTTTTATTTAATTAAAAATGAAATAATTAATAAAAAACGAAATGAAAAACAAAATAAATGTTTAATGAGAAATAAATATTTTTTATTTAGTGGTTAAATATTTAATAAAAAAGAAATATTTATCATTTTTTTTGTTTAATGGAAAAAATATTTTTTATTTAAATTAAAAAATAAAAAATATTTAATAAAAAAAGAAATATAAAACGAAATAAATATTTTCCTGAGTAATATATATTTAATAAGTATTTTTTATTAATGGTTATTTAATGAAAAATTAAATATTTAATAAAAAAATATTTTCATTTTTTTATTAAATATTTCGTTTTTGTATTAAATACTTAATCATTAAATAAAAACTATTTATCACTCATTATAAATTTATTTCATTTTCATTAAATATTTTGTTTTTATTTAATCATTAAATATTTCATTTTTTATTAAATTAAAAAAATATATTTTATTCTTTTTCTTTTGATTTTATCTTTTTCTTTTTAAAGCTTTTTATTTTTCGTTTGATTTTTTTAATATTATTTTCTGATTTTGTAAACCGGAAACAATTAAAGGACGAAAGTGCAACAAATGTAAAGTTAGTGGACGAATAGTGCAATTTTTCCGATCTGACTAAGGCGCCACCTCGTGCCACATCACGCCGAGAATGGAAATTTCGATCTGACTGGGCGCCACATCAGCTATTCCGGCGAAAATGAGCACCGGAATGTCATTTTGGACTAAAATTACCAAAAAAAAAAAGTTAGTGTACCAATTATAAACCGGAAACAATTAATGGACGAAAGTGCAATGAGGGTATAGTTAGTGAACGAATAGTGCAATTTTTCCTTTTTTTGTCAAACAATACTTATATTAATAATTGAAAACTTAAATTGAGTACACCAAAGTATCAAATGACACCACTGGAACGAGAATTAAGTCTGGACCAACCCCCGACCCCTTTGGAATTACACAGACAACCGTACTTACACACACACACACACGACAAAAAACTTCATAAAAGAGACTAAAAATTAGACGAAGCTGGACCGATACTACACACAACAACAAAACA